ACCCATCAAAATCTGAAAATTAAAAAACGGAGTTGTCCAGCAACATAAATAATAGTAATATAACATACTTGCAAGTTAATTTAGTAGTGGGGTCCATATATGTTAGTTATCGACGGGGAGGCACTTGGTCATGCCTGCCATAGGTGACGCATCGATACTATGCAGGTATCCTGACCATTCAGGCACCCAAGACAAATTACAATAATTTTATCTTTTACATTCAAGGTTTCCATAAAAATTAAGTCACTTTGTAAATGGAAGAAAGTATATGTAGGACTGGGACCTGTGGGACATTAAGAGAAATGTAGGAGAAGAGGGTGTAGGTCAGCAATGGTACATCAGGTAGCCGAATACTATGGCGAACTTTTAGGTTAGGTTCCGTTTAGTGAACTCAATCTGAATTCAAAGTCAGGAAGAACTAATAGTTGCCCATTAGACTTTGCTAATAGGAATCCCTAAAGAAAATAAAGACGTGAGATAAGGAGACCTACTCTCTGTAATTACTCCTTTTAATCATTATAATAATGTTTTTCATCTGAAAATTTTCTTAAATTATTTCGAACATTTGAACCTCCTTCACGTCGCCATTTTCTCTCAGGGAAAATGCAGCTACCTATTAAACCTTATATTTGAAAAACCCTATAATCAAATAAATTCTGTCACACGTTGACAATGAACAAAATAAAAATATTCACCGCAAACTGACCAGTGAAACATTATTCGAAACTAACCTAAAAATCGATTGCAAGTGTAAACCTAAAACTTTAAAGTCTGATCAAATTGTAAGATATTAAACATTAACTATGTATGTAGTTATATTTTGTTCGTAAAAGAAAATTTGTTCAATCCCATTTTCCACCGGACAAATAATAAATCGCTCCACGCAAAATACAGTGTCGTTAGTTAATTCATAAACAAGACGTTAATTCCGCGTCACAGTGCGGGTGATCCTTCAATTAACCCATTAATTACTTTATACCCGACAACGACGCGTATTTCGCAGGTTGACGAAGAAACAGGCGTCGTGTGAAGCTCCGTAAATATTTCTGACTTCAATTAACTCTGGCATGCAAAGGTTTCTATTGTAACGTGTAACAACTTACAAATCGGGCTTGGAGATATAATTGCATTGTGCAACAACGTTTCCCGACGTTGATATTGTTCGTCGTCACGAGTACCATAAAAAAGAGAGCACAACGGTGTTTGCCCTATATAAAAGGAACACATGCGAGGTATGGAAAATAAATGAAAACTGGAACGGATATTTTATATCCCGTATCATTCGTATCTTGGTTACATACGACATATGGCGTTTCATATAAGGAAGACATAGTTGAGAAACTGTGGAACATAAAAGAGTAAATAGCAAGATATTTTAAATTCAGTAATTGTTTATGATAAGTAGCATAATCTGGGACCACCTCTTTTGAATGCAACTCTATATTTTTGTTTAGATGGACTCTATCCACATAAGAAATTATTTAGGTACAATATTAGAACGATCAAGAGTTGCAAGATATTTTAAATTCAATGATTATTCATTATGAGTTGCATAATCTGGGACCACCTCTTTTGAATGCAACTCTATATTTTTGTTTAGATGGACTCTATCCACATAAGAAATTATTTAGGTACAATATTAGAACGATCAAGAGTTGCAAGATACTTTAAATTCAGTAATTGTTTATGATGAGTAGCATAATCTAGGACCACCTCTTTTGAATGCAACTCTATATTTTTGTTTAGATGGACTCTATCCACATAAGAAATTATTTAGGTACAATATTAGAACGATTAAGAGTTGCAAGATATTTTAAATTCAGTATTATTCATGATGAGTAGCATAACCTAGGACCACCTCTTTCGAATGCAACTCTATATTTTTTTTCAGATGGACTCTATCCACATAAGAAATTATTTAGGTACAATATTAGAACGATTAAGAGTTGCAAGATATTTTAAATTCAATAATTATTCATGAAAAGCAGCATAATGTAGGACCACCTCTTTTGAATGCAATTCTATATTTTTTTTCAGATGAATTCTATGGAACTGTCTATATAGAAAAAGTATTTAGGTACAATATCAGAACGAACAATAGTTGTCGAGATATTCAAATTCAAAACTGAAGGGAGTCTAAGGGGGACCTCCACTTTTGAATGAGGCTGTACATTTCTCTTTCCAATTATCTTGCGAGTTATTGATCTTCTGGTATTGTACCAATACTCTTTGACAGAGAATGTTTCGAAGAATCGATCTGCACAAAAATATACTATGTTGTACAGGTGCATTCAAAAGTGGAGGTCCTCCCAAATTTAGGTTCTACTTTAAGATCTCTCTTTAAGATCTTTTAGAATTTTCTTAAAACTATATAATGAAGAAAAACAATATGTATACATGAGATTTAAAAAATATTTTAAAATTGAAATTAAAATATCTTCTTCTGAATCAACCACTATAATACTGACAAAATTATCGTAAATTTTTGAAAGATTTTCAGAGCTGATATAAATATTTAATACTTCATATGAAGTAGTTAAATGAAATTATCTCCCACAGTTTCAAAGCTATAGCTTGCTCGTATTATATGAAACGCCCTGTAGAGTATGGTGTAATATAAGTGTAGTTTCAAAAAGAGTCTGTAGTGAAGAAATTGTGCAGGAGACGCAGAATCAGTTGCTGATTAACAGACTGCAGATCTATGACTAAAAGAAGCCATCCTTAATATTATGTTTGTAAACAATGGTTGGATGTGTTAAAGGTAGCAGACTAAATTGGCAAATCGTGCAATTCGAGGTGTGCTGTTATAACCTAGTTAATGGAAGAAGTTGAAGAAAATTTGTGAAAGAAAAATTTCTAATCTATATTATTGTCACTTCAACTAACAATAGAAATTTTTTTAGTCGTGTTACCTTGAACTTCGTTCGGGTGAGATACCACTAGCGGAAAATTATGAAACTATCAAAATTTCATTTCTTATGCGTTAAAAGGAGAGTTTGAGAAATCTTCTCGATGAACCTGCTTGGAATATTAGAAGAAAGAAATCCAATCCGTGAAGAACATGCAAAAGAGCCGGTTCTATTTCATGCTATTCTTGAATTTTTACGGTGAATTAACCATTTCTCAAGGTTTCAATTATTAATCGTTGATCCAGAGAAATTGCAAACAAGTTACTTTTGGAAGATAAAAGAAACCAATTTGGTTGGAAAAAAGAAACAAGTTTATTGTCACGAGAATTTAAATAGTGGCAATATAGCGAGAGTCTGCTGTATTGCCACGGGAATGCAACGGAATGTTATATTATCACGGCAATATGCTGTATTACCACGGTAGTAGAATCTACCGCATTACCGCGATGTAACGAGAATGCAATATACCGAGAGTTTATTGTCACTGAAATATGGTGACGCTATAACGAGAGTTTATTGATATGCAAATGTATCATTGGGTTTTTAAAGTGATATGTATGATATTAATCGGTATAAATGAGTTTGAGACGTGACATGCTACGTTAAGTCATCGTCGTGTCATTTAATTTCGATATTTTTATGTTGATATGCCTAATAGTGGTTGGAGGTGGCATATCATGTCTAGAAGTTGTTTATTTATGGTACGGGTTATTAAGTTTCTTTAAGAAATGGTTTCAATGCAAATATACTAGTTTAAGAGGTGACATGTCACCTTAAACCATCACAGGATGGCGATTGCAAGTAGCATATCACCACTTAAATTTGTTTAATTGCATTATAATGTATGCTGTTTCTTTAAGAAAAGACTCCACTACAAAGTAGTCAATTTGGAAGGTGACATGTCACTTTAAACCATCATATGATAGTGATTGAATGTGGCATATCACGTTTCAAGTTCATTCATCTGGATTACAGCATATCACATTTCTTTAAGAAATGACTCAACTGTAAATAAGTCAATTTGGAAGGTGATATGTCACTTCAAAACACCATACGATGGTAATTGAAGGTGGCATATCACGTTTCAAGTTCGTTTATCTGGATTACAGCATATCACATTTCTTTAAGAAATGACTCAACTGCCCATAAATGAATTTGAAAGGTAACATGTCACCTTGAACCGTCACATGATGGCACTTTGGGGTGGCATGTCATGTTTTAAAATCTTGATTATAGCATATCACATTCCTTTAAAAAATGACTCAACAGCAAATAAATCAATTTGGAAAGTGACATGTCACTTTAAATCATCATACGATGGTGACTGAAGGTGGCATGTCACGTGTCAATTTTGTTTATTTGAATCACAATGTGACACACGTTCTTAAAAAATGATTGCACTGTTGATAAATCAGTTTGAAAGATGGAATGTCACCTTGAGACGTACAACAATGACAATTTAAAGTAGCATGTCACGTCTCAAATTTCTTTATTCGGATTACAGCATATCACATTTCCTTAAGAAGTGTAATAAGATCCCTCTGAGAATTGAAATGTCACCTTAAACCATAATGTGATGGTCATAACATGGCATATCGCGTCTCAAATTCATTTATCCGATTCGAAGCATATCACTTTACTAACCCAACATCCACCATCGCTGTACACATTCCTACACTTCCCTAAACAAACAAGTCCTCTTGAAGTCCAGGAAACGTTCAAAAACAGTGAAGATACGCCGGTAACTATACTCACAGTAAGTTCACGGCAACTTTAGCTCCCTAGAGTACGACACAAAATTCCTTATAAAAAATGCGTACAGGTATAAAATACATTCGCTCAAACTTTTTTTCTGACAAAATAAAACACCTTGAAACATATGTATGTATGTATGAACGCACTTATGCGAGTGTATGCTTTGTGTGTCACATGTGTGTATGCATGGATGAACATGGTTCCGTGTGAGAATGTAATGTATTAATGAATGTATTAAGTTTATACATACTTGAAAAAATGAAAAAGAAAAAGAAAAAATGAAGAAGTTAACAGACAAAAGTGACAGGATTGAAGGATTTAATTATATAATAATACCTCTTTCCGTGTTCCCGCTTGTATTCGCCGCTGTACTTGGACCTACTGCCTACGAGCTCTATTATCTCGGGTATGCTACTAGCAAAAATTGCCTGCAAATAGAAATCATAACTGGAAAATACTATGCCACTACGAACCGTTCAAAACAAACTGGGTCATCTATGTATTGGTTGCGATTTACAGCTCAGCTTCTCACCAGATATACTGGGTGTTCATATATTTCTGTCACTTCTTGTAATTATCAAACGGTTATAAATTCATGTAAAAACATCTGATTTCGAACATTTTATATAGAATATAATAATGTACACTGAAAACTATTTTTTAATTTTTCAAGGTCATTTCAAGGTCATTTTAAGGTCATTTCAAGGTCGTTTCGTATTTTCGTATTTAAATGGGACGCCATATTTTTATTCTGGTATCACAGAAGACAGATGAAAGACATTAGCTATAATATTGCTTATAACTAGTTCAAATTTATGTTGGAAGATTGAAAATAGGGTGAACAATAAATACAATGGTACAGCTCACAAATTCTAACTTCCAAGTATAATTCAACTGTCACATATTTGTGCACAATTTATACTAATAATAACAAGATAACCTAACTCTAAGATAACTTCAATAAACACAATGATTAAAATTTTCATTTACATCTTCATATCAGGTCAAGGTCACTATTTATTTAAAAAACTGAACTGACCTTAAAATTTATTAAAGTAAATTTTGACACGTAGAATCATATTCCATGTAAAAAGAACCAAGATATTTTTACACTTCTTCTGTATTACCTAAAGTTTGATAGATACTTCACATGACAGAAATTTATGGACACCCTGTATGTATCCACTAGATCCTCTGATTAGAGTACATGTTCACGAGAGTAAAACTCATGCTTGATAGCATTGTATGCGAGTAAATTCTGTGTTGTGAGTCACTCTCAGCCTTGAGCATAAGAGCCACTCTCAGCCTAGAAGTTTCAATCACTTTTAGTTACTCTCAAAGTTATAACTCAATTACTCTCAGACTGAGTCTAATATCGACTCTCAGCTACTCTCAGTATTTAGCCTGACAGCAACTCTCAATTACTCTCAGACTGAGCCTAAGATCAACTCTCAGACTTAGCCTAAGATCGACTCTCAGTCACTCTCAGTATTTAGCCTGACAGCAACTCTCAGTTACTCTCAGTTACTCTCAGCCCTCAGTGCAAGAACTTCCAATCACTCTCAGTATCAATCGTCTCTCAGTCACTCTCAGTCCTCAACCAAACAAATCTTATCCATCCTCAGTACTGAGAGTAAAAAAAACTTACTGTCTCTCTTACTATCAGTATTCAGTCAGAGAGTAATTTTCAGTGACTCTCAGAAATCAGCCCAAAAGTGACTGTTCCAGCACTCAACCTAAAAACAACTCTCAGTGCTCAGCCTACGAGTGACTCTCAGTCTCAGTACTCAAACTAAAAGCAACTCTCAACATATTATCTACTCGTAACAAATGTTCTCGACCTCCTCTCGGACGAGTTTTACTCTCAAGTGGACAGATCCTCTTATATCGTCGCAGCAGAAGGAGATAAAAAGAAGAAAAGGATTCGAAGGATCGGTAGAAAAAGGTAATTTAGGGGCAATGATCTGCTTTCTCGTGTTGCGTGCGCACCTTTCACTATTCTTGAAAAATGCTAAACACTGTGTGATATTCGCAGCCATACTGGGATCTAAATTTTTGGATTTATAGTATTGAGTTGGACAATCATTTCTTTGTGGATTATTGTGGAACGATCATTGTGGAATGCGCATGCGCGTTGCTGTTGGTTACAGAGCGTGATAGAACCAATCAGAGCCTACGTGCGCAGTAAACTGCGCAGAGGTCGTTTCTTGATATATCAGTTTAAGTCCTAGTATGTTTATACTTGTACAAGTTACAAATCAATAAATAAATCAATTGTTATGATAATGTATTTATTTGTTAACACTTTAACATACAGCAAAGTTGTACATAACAATAAATAAATAAAAATGTATTAATAAATAAAAATATAATTAGTGAAACTTGAAACTGCAATAACTTCTGAACCAACATGTTTAAAGCATAACTTACTTCAACAATTTATTGTAAATAATTAAAAACATACACTGATTAGTCTGTCTGAAATTAAATTTAGTTGAATTTTATCCTGTGACGAAATCTCAAAAATATCTTAAATTATTGCAACTCGTGATAAAAGTTTTAAAAACACTTTTAAATAAAATTATTGCCTTCTATATAAAAGATTATTTATTTATATATATGTATATATAAAAAGGCCATATGAAATTATTGTCCAACTCAATATCTTGTGAACTAACCCCCGAACGAATATAAATTTTCATTTCCATTTTCCAAATTGTAGACCATACATGACATATGGCAATCTTTCTTTGAAAATTTAGATATCTCGTTTTAGTTGAAATATCTAAACAAATATAATAAATATGGATCATAACTGACCCAGATTAGTCGTTCGAGGATTAAAAAATATTTATCGTGACGAAAAGAAAGTGCAAACTTTGCAATATTCCCGTAGGAACAGACTTTATAACTATTCGGGTCATTTTTGGGAAAACAGTGTAATGGAAGCTTTAAGACTAGTCAACATCTAAAATTAAGGTGACCTACGTTCTTATAATAAAAAAAAAATATTTCAAAGATCGTAATCATTGCAATTTATAGGCGACTAAAAACTAATTATTTATAACAGATCATTTGAAGCAGTTCAAAAATCGTGTGTATCGAAGAGATGGTCAAACCTAGCTTTAACTTGTCCCCACTCCGTTGCTATTTTTGTCACGTGTCGATAATCGTCGGCAAGTACGATTTCTAGATAATCAATCACGTGATAATTATTTTTTATATATTACATTTGCACTTTAATGTGTTTAACGCACACTTAGCGTGATATATGAAAAATAATTAATATCGTGTAGTGTTATCTTAGGAAATCTTACTTACCGACAGTTATCGACGTTTACCGACGACGTACGAAGACAAACCACGTGACAAAGTGGCAGAGTGGGGATAGTCTAGAGCCTAAATTATCTCAAGATGGCCATCTCTATTACATTCGTTGCTCTAAAACAGTGGTTCTCAAATTTTTCGTAAAATCAAATGATTTAATTTAGAGAAATATTTGTGTTTAATGAGAACGTTTGTGTTAATAGTTACAATTAATGTTAATTTCTTAAGGGACGAAAATATATTTTTTTATCGATGAAATTGTTATAATGTGAATTGCACTACAGGTTGAGAATCACTGTTTTAAAACCACTTTTTACTTACGTTCGAGAAATATTTCCTATTCATTTTAACGAATACGTAACAATATTTTTTAAAGTTACATATTATTCAATTATTTTACATATACAGGGTGACAAGAAAATAAATGGCCAAGCTGTGATAAAATCATAGATATCTAAAATATTTCTTTTTCAAAATATAAGAATGTTTATTTATATAAAATTTTGAGTATTTCACGAGTTAAATTACAAGTTTGTCATCACAGACTGATGTAATAAAAATTACTCCCCACAAGAAATACACTAGTATTTTAACCACAATTTGATTATTCATTTTACAGTCACTCTATATAATCGAAATAATTTATATCAGTTAATATTCTATGATTTCTGAACGGGAGTGTGTTACACGTGTCAACTTCTTCGTGAACATCTGTTGACTATGTTAAAACGTGAAATGTGGTTAGTTCAAAAGTGACAAGCTGATTGCATAAAATGTAAGAGACAGAAAACATAGTGGATTCTGAAGAGCATACGGTAGTTGAGAGTGAAAGCAGAAATGCATGCGTGAAAAACATACGTGACAGTGAGAAATAGAGAAAGAAGAACAAGTGGTTAACCCTTAGAGTACAGAGTGGGCTACAAACTTCATGCGACCGAAAATAATTTCTTTTTTTAATAACTAATGTTAACTTTTGAAACTTTCTCCTACTTCTGAAATAGAAGAAAATTTGTTGATACAGTAGACTCACAATGTATTGCCAGGTATAAACGAAATTGTACTTATATTTATTGTATTGCTTCGCTATTGTGGGACTTAAAATTTTCTGAGATGAAGAAATTTGTTTTTAAGTTTTTAAATTTAAGAATTTACAAATTTTACAATTATTCAATTTTTTAATTTTTCCACTTTGGAATTTATCAATTTTCCCACTCTTGAATTTTTCAATTTACCCACTTTCCAATTTTTCAATTTTCCCACTCTTCAAGTCTTCAATTTTTCAATTTTCCCACTCTTCAAGTTTTCAATTTTTAAATTTTACCACTTTCCAATTTTTCAATTTTCCCACTCTTCGATTTTTCAAATTTCCCACTTTTCAATTTTTCAATTCTCCCACTTCTCAATTTTCCAATTTTCCTATTTTCCCACGTTCCAATTTTTCAATTTTCCCACTTTTCACTTTTTTAATTTTTCAATTTTCCCATTTTTCAATTTTTCAATTTTCCCACTTTTCAATTTTCCAATTTTTCAATTTTCCCACTTTTCAATTTTTCAGTTCCTCAATTCCACAATTTTTCAATTCTTCAATTATTCAATTTTCAACTCTTTGATTTCCAGTTTTCCAATTTTTCAATTTTACAATTCTCACTTTTACAAATGTAAATCCCTTCAAATTTTTAATTTGCGAACTGACAAACACTCAGATTAACTAACTTTCGAATTTCTCAAAGAAGAAATCTTTGTCCACAGCAATATATTGCTAACTTCAATAATATTCAGCTGCAACATTTGTGGCAATATAACGAAAGTGTACTGTAAATTAAAACAAAATTTACCAAATGTGTATATAAATCCGCCCAAATTACTCTGAGAGTTAAAACAGGAAGAAAAGAAAGTTTGAGCATTCGATTTTGACTAACATTAGCAAACCAAGCAAACTAGAAGGTTAAAAATTGTTATTCGTGCAGATTAGAGGATAGCAGACCTCTACTGTAATTTACAATCGGTATCAAATTAATTAAAATTAATTCAAAATTAATTAAAATTTTTTTTTATATGGTTTCTTTTTATCGTAGAGGGCTGCAGCGAGGGAAGCGCTACT